ACATGCAATATCCGTCAAGATTCGAACGCGGATCAGTAAGTGCATAGCCTGACTTAGAGTTATAGGCTGAAGATGAGATATTCACTGCATGTGCCCAATATATGTATGCAATATTCATGTTAGATGCATTGAAAATGAAGGAAACTTCTTTTTTTTTCAGCTTTATCAAAAAGATTGGGTTTGAAAATACATTGATATAAAAACTTCTAGATTCGGTTCGTGTGCACGGATCTGATTATCCCCCGCCAACACAAATATATACCGTCGCTATAAAAGTTATATTTAGTGGTTACACATGTTTCAATAGACATTTATGTTTTTAAACAGAATAATAAACGAATATCAAGCACTTTGGTTTGGTTTATTTTACGGGATATCAGTCTCAATGGGTTATTTAATGCCGACAATGATTTTCTTCAAGAATTTATTTCTGAGAATATTTTTTCTTTGAAGAAGTCTATAGCTGGTAACATATTTTTCAAAAAAATATATAGCTGTTTGTATTGCTGGGATTTTTTTAAAGTATTGGTGATAATAGTTTTTCATTTCCTTTATTGCTGGTAATAGTTTTTTTTTTATTATTATTACAAAGTATTTCTGGTATTAACACATATTTTTGCACAAGTTTTGATGTTAACTATTTGCCCATAGCTGGGAAAGTAACAGGTGCTACCACCCCGGGTGAGGATGAACCTGGGAACACCAGCAATTAAGAGGCGGTTCCATGCTCCTCAAAACTACCTGAGCAGAGGCCTTGCTGTTGGACGTAGTTTATCGTCTTACCCAGGAGGCGGATGTAGTTTATCGTCATACCTAGGACGGATTAAGCACTTTAATCCATCAATATAACATACGTATAAAACTATATATATATATATATATATATATATATATATATATATATATTAACATATTTATTTGCACAGTATTTTTTGTGCAAACTTTGAAAGGTCTGAGTATTTCCTTGAAAGTCCGTAGATTCAATCTGTAAGTTTATTTTTCGTCCTAAGATCAACGTATCATCAGATATTTCTTTTAATTTATTTATTTTTTCTCAAGCATTTACCAAATTACGAAAGATAGGCTCTGAATTGTAACATAAAAACTTCATTAAAACTATTTAATTATTTAATTGTATAAGCTTTTAATTGTTAGCATAAATAATATAAATGAAAGATGTAGTAGGAATAAAAAAAAAGCAAACAAGAATTGTTCCCCACAGCACCGTTTTTTTTATCATAATTTTTAAAGTTTAAAATTAATTTCTAAAAATGAACAAAGCATTCTTGAAGGTATAGTTGAGGTAATCGATAGCGGTTCGGATTGAGGAATCGGAGAGCCGGTTTCGAATTTCAGTCAGATCCATTATATTCATCTTGCTAATAACTTTTGGAGAGTTATGAATCCTTCTCTTTGCCACCAGTTATGGGAAAATAGGAGGACAGACCGGATTCTATAGCCTTGGATGGCAACTGGTCAACCGTAGAAAGTAATGGCAACCTACTGCTGGAAAAAAATCTGCCTCGTCAGTCATGTATCGAAAGACAAATGATCGCCTATGCGTGTATCACTCATGGCACATTAAAAGATATATATATATATATATATATATATATATATATATATATATATATACAACTATTCTCTTCGATAGCGATATCAGTAGACGTCAAAGGGACCAAGATTGCCCGGCACCGGGTGGGTTATAGTTATTTGCGCACTGCGCCTCAGTTGTTACACACTCACACAAAAAAAAAACGTATATATGTGGCGTATTATATATACAATTTGTTTCCTCTCTTTCTTTTGATCTCATTCTTTAAATTTTTCTGTTCATCATCATCTAGAAAGTACATCACTCCTATTTCCACTGTATATCTGGGCTGGTGCTGCATCACGTTCCAGCCTTCACAGAGTTCAAAAGCGTTAACGCGGCCTTTTGGGTGATGACTTATATTCCACACGACAATCATAACAACAAAGTTGCAATATGAGCTCTGGTAAAAACATGTATGATAACAGCAAAATTGCAAAATGACAACTGGTAAAAATGGGTGCTGAAGACAGGTTTATAATACCCAGAAATTCATACTCAAGGACACATGGCACAGTGGATAAAGGCGTTGGTTAGATCCAGTGACAGGACTCAAAGAGTGTTCAATACCCAGTTAAGGCAGTGGAGAATTTTCAGTGAGAAATTAGCAGGCGATAACTGATAAATGACATCCATCAAACATGGAACGTGGAACTAGAACAGTCTACCCCAGTGAGCGAAATAAAAGGTTCAGTTGGAAATTCCAACCACCTGAAGAAGGCCGAAGCGTACAACGGCCGAAACGTTGTGATAAATATGGCGACAAAGATGAAGACAATAGTCCGAATAATGTAAATAATGTACACGACAATGTCTTTCTCACAGACGAATCTTTGCTAACCTCGTGTTAGGTTATTGCTATTTTCAGTGGCAACTGTACAAACGAGATGCATTTCTTATCTCCAGCAGTTCAGGCCCTCACAGCTAACACAGAAAAAAATCGTCCTCAAACCCATCGTATTCCATTTGTAACGAGAAAGTTCCACTCCGACATCTACGTCTCTAGAACTGTCACTTTTGGGAACAAACTCCCGAGAGGTTTCTTCCCCGATTACTATAATTTTAACCTGTTCATGTCTATCGAACCTACTTATTTTCATAATACGAACTTCGTATTCAGGTTGGCAAGGGGGGGGGAGTTCGAATCAGTTGCTTTCTCCCCCAGAACTGTTAATTTTGGAAGAGACTTATGAGAGGATGCCGCCATTCTGCCTCTGCACCTTCAAGTCTCGAGTCAAGCGTTATGCATCCTGCATATTCTTATAACCCGCACCCCCTCTTTTTATGTCCTTAAAACCATCTTATTCTCTGATATCCAACCTTGAGTGGCTCTTGGGCCTTGTATTCGGTAAACAATAGGGAAGGATAAAATCTTTCCTCTGGTCAATTGTCGCCGCCATTTCTCATTCAATTCTTTTTCGCTATTCTGTTTTTCAGTTACTTTTCTTTCTCTTCTTTCTTTTGTATTTCCTGCTTTATATTTATCAGAGCAGTTGTGTATAGTAATGTATTTGATCGCTACTTCGTGTCACACTATTCTAATAAGGAGAGTAAGCAGCCTTGTGCCACATCTAAGCTACGCTTGAAAAATCACTATAAGGAGAGTAAGCCGGCTTTCATTTATCGCGAGCAAGTTGCCTATGTGAACGTATTGAAATCAAATGGACTTAGTTTGAGGAGAGACTAAAATTGGTTCAATCATTCCTCCCACCACTTATAAATTGGAATATCTTTGTACGCCTACATTTTAGATGGTTTATCGCCTGTATATTTTTTTTCCTTTCTGGCTATAACAGTTTTTTTTTCTCTTCTCCCAAACATTACTGTTTTCTCTACTTCCATTTTTACGGTCATTCGAAATGTTTTATTTCTTTCCTTCCTTTTACGTTTTATATCCTTTCGTTGGCCTTGCGATAATTTGTTTAAATCTTTTTTATTTCTTATTCTTCCCCATCGTTCATATTTTTTTCATATTGTTTTGCGATATACCACGGACTTACATTCTCTTTTTTCTTTTAATTTCCCAGTACTTACTCTTTTTTTATTTGCCTCCAAATCTTTTCTTGTTCCGTCTTTTCCTTTATTTCAAACCCGCCTTTTCCTCTGTATTCCATAAAACCAAAGGAAAAAGAAAAAGCTCCACCGCTCCGCGCTTTATAGCCATCTGAGTAAACCAGTAACCACGCATGCGCTTGCGCAGACTCTAATCGGACCTTTGGAGAACTAACAAAACTGACGTTAAGTACTTGATGGATTCCACTCTCCAGACATTTCACAAAGCGACAGCGCTGTGTCGAGAATAGCATTCGGATAATCGCTTGGTCCGGACGGAATTAGCAAATTTATATTATAAACGAGAATAGAGATAACGCCATACCAGTAAACAACGGTAAAGCGAATATCTGATGATTTATCCGCCTCAAAAAGCAAGCAAAAGTGCATTTTTCGAAAGTGATATAATGTCGGAAATTTGATTGACGCAACAGATGGGTAACGTTCTTTGTTGGCGTGGAGCGGAGGACTGAAAAAAAAGAGTATAACAATAGTGTAATAAGCGCCAATGAGGGCTAAGTGAGATTACATCAGATATGATTGACTTAGACCCCCCCTCTCCACCATCGTGAAACTATCGAATAATTGTTTTCAACACAATGCATTTATCTTATACTTTTGCGAATTTTCTAATGCCAGCATGTATAAAATAAAATTCTTGATAAAATCCAAATTAGAATCTGCAATGTTTTGGGTCCGGACATGTCATCCCGGCTTCAGTAACTTTCCCACCGCTATAATGTAGCTTCTCTGTACCTTTTCTATAAATACGTACATGATAATAATTCTGATGGTCTTATGGCAGCTAGACTTTATGAATTTAAGTGATGTACTAGATTAGCCACGAGTTGATATTGCTCGATGTAACCGTAAGTTCTATGCTAACAGTCTCTTTTCTGACACTTCTCACTTGTGGAACTCTCTTCTGGTTTCTTGTTTTCCAGCTAACTTCCATTTTTAAAATATTAAATGCATTGTCAAGCGTTATCTACTGCCTTCTTGATTTCTAGTAGTTAAACCTATATTGGTTCAATTTTTTACAGTTTCATCTCGACTAAAAATCAGAATTTATATAAGTATAATAAAGGGAACCAAAGGTTACCTTAATGGTGTCCAATGTATAACAGATTCAGCAGAAGAAAATCAGACAGAATATAGAAAGATGGGATAAAAAGTTTTACTCGTTGAGCACAATTATTGTGATTGTGGAAAGATTTTGGAAAAGGACTTTTTTGTGGATTCCGAAGAGCAGCTGCATTTTATATATATATATATATATATATATATATATATATATATATATATATATATATATATATATATATATATATATATTTCATTAAATAAGTGTTGTCTATTTATTTTATGTAAATTCTTTTCATAACGTCTGATAAGCTTAATAACATTATCATTAAACGAAGAAAGAAAATCACAATATTGATACATATTTTTTAATCCATTATAAGCCGTTATCAAAGATGTCAATTACTTTACAACATATTAAGCAATATACGGAAAAGACAGTGATGATAGTATGTGATTGTTTACATGGATGATTTCCAAGCAACGACAAACACGTGCATATAAGACGCTGGAAGTGAAAATCGCACACATGACCACGCGAGAGTGAATTTGGGAAGTATTAAGTATGGGAAGCCGTTGGTATAAACCAATGGCTTCTGTTACCAATCATAGACATTTAAGGATATTTGTAGTGATTCCATAGTATATTTGTATATCCCATATATATATATATATATATATATATATATATATATATATATATATATTGATTCCTCCATTTGTACTGTTCTTAATCCTTATCATTTGTCTTATTCTTTCACACTAACTAACTCCCCTTGCGTCTTACTGGCTTTTATTGTCTTGCTTGGAGTGAAATGATTTTTAAAAAAGTTCATATTTATTTATAAGCGTCAATTCGATATTTTTTCTTTAGAGTAAATATCATTCATATAATATAATCTATAATATAATCTATAATATATATATATATATATATATATATATATATATATATATATATATATATATATGGATGGTGCAATATTATCGTAATGAAAAATGTATTCAATACACACCGTTGGGTTTGATTTGTATCCATTTTTTTATGTAAATATTTTTTGCGGGGGTTAGGGTGGGGTCGAATTATATTTCTTCTCCAGAGTAAAGACAAAAATTATGAACGTTTCTTGTTTTTAAAGCAAATGAAATTTACGTTTAATCTTCTGGTTGAAAAGATTCTTTGGATGCGGAAATGTCATAATTGCTAATTTTTCCTGATGGCAGAGGTTGCAAATATTGTTGTGGTTTTTATAAGTTCTCGCCTTTATATATATATATATATATATATATATATATATATATATATATATATATATATGCATACACACATATGACGTCTTAGGCAAAGACGTCATAATTTTTAGAGTGGGGTACTTCGAATTTAAAATCTACCAACTTTAAGATTACCATCGCCAGAAAGCTGAACTAGGCAAAAATGAGCTAATATTTAAGGAAGCTGTACAGTAAGGGGTTAATATATTATTATTATTATTATTGTCATTGTATGTTGTTTCCTGTTTTGTATCCTGCAGAGCCGGGTCGAAACTGTGGACATTAGGCCCTCTAGGAGAATTGTCATTTAATTGATAGCACTTATCTTACTATCTGCGATGTTCCTAGTAGGGCAATATTCTGGGCAACGTGTATGTTGATGTTACCTGGGACTGTTAGTAAAACTGTCCATTGCTTTTCTTACGAGGCCCAGTGCTCCGATTACTATTGGTACAGTCTCAGTCTTCATTCCCCACATCCTATTAATTTCGATATTCAGGTCTTTGTATTAGGACAATTTCTCGATAATTTTCATGAAAGTGTTTCTCTCAGATGCTCTCTCTCTCTCTCTCTCTCTCTATATATATATATATATATATATATATATATATATATATATGGTAATAATTGTTTGTTAAAAAACCCGGATAGCACAACTTGTAGATATGTCAAAACAAATCGGTACCAGAGAAAAAATTTGGAAAAAATAAAAAACTAAAAACATCAGAACAAGACGAAGCAAATCGTCCAGTGCATAAGTCTTTAGTCCAAAAAAAAAAAAAAAAGCAAGTACAAAGACTAAAACGTAGTGTGCTCAATACGCTAAGTAGAGCAGGAATAAATAAAATAAATCCTAAAGACCCAGGAAAACCTCGCTTGGTTTCACCTAAACGGTTCTTCATGGCAAGTTGGACAGCTTTCCTGACCATCCGCTTAGGTGAAACCTTGGTAGGTTTGTCTGGCTCTCTAGGTTTAACTAGGTCTGCTCTATTTTTGTATCGAGCACTTTTTTAGTTAGTTGATTACTCGTAACGGTTTTTTTTTTCTTTGGGCTTTGGACCTGTATGCTGTACGATTATTTTCGACAGACGTTCATGTTCATAGCTCTTTCTTTTTTTTAAACCTTTTTTTCTTCGAAATTGATTTCATCATTTGCAAATCAAGAAACCAAAAGTTTTCCGAGAGGTGTATATATATATATATATATATATATATATATATATATATATATATATATATATATATATATATATATATATATATATATATATATATATATATATATATAAGCAAATATATGGATATAGATCCGACAGTATGAAGAAAAATATATACGGAAAAGAACAAACAAAAATCCTTATATACAATTATGCTGTTTTAATGTTAATATTTCAACGTCGGACGTTTCTGTCTACTAAACCATCTTCAGGACATATTCATAAATTATAACATTATCAATACAACATGACAAAGACGATGTACATAAAAACAAGACTTAT